CCGCTGTCGAGCCAGACGATCCGGTACCTGATGACCCGGTGCCCACTGTCATGCCTGGTGACCCGATGCCCGCTGTCGAGCCAGACGATCCAATGCCTGATGACCCAGTGCCCGCGGTCATACCTGGTGACCCGATGCCCGCTGTCGAGCCAGATGATCCAATGCCTGATGACCCAGTGCCCGCTGTCATGCCTGGTGACCCGATGCCCGCTGTCGAGCCAGACGATCCAGCGCCAGATGACCCGGTGCCCGCTGTCGATCCAGACGATCCGGTACCTGATGACCAGTGCCTGCTGTCATGCCTGGTGACCCGATGCCCGCTGTCGAGCCAGACGATCCAGCGCCAGATGACCCGGTGCCCGCTGTCGTGCCAATTGACTTAGAGTCCACTGTTGTGCCTGGTGACTCGGTGCCCACTGCCTTGCCAGATGATGCGGTGCCCGCTGTCGAGCCAAATGACCTGATGCCTGGTGACCCGATGCCCGCTGTCGAGCCAGACGATCCAATGTCTGACCCAGTGCCCGCGGTCATGCCTGGTGTGACTCGGAGCCCACTGTCATACCTGGTGACCCGATGCCCGCTGTCGAGCCAGACAATCCAATGCCTGATGACCCAGTGCCCGCTGTCATGCCTGGTGACCCGATGCCCGCTGTCGAGCCAGACGATCCAATGCCTGATGACCCAGTGCCCGCGGTCATGCCTGGTGACCCGATGCCCGCTGTCGAGCCAGACGATCCAGCGCCAGATGACCCGGTGCCTGCTGTCGAGCCAGACGATCCGGTACCTGATGACCCGGTGCCCGCTGTCGTGCCAATTGACTCAGAGCCCACTGTCGTGCCTGGTGACTCGGTGCCCACTGCCTTACCAGATGACGCGGTGCCCGCTGTCGAGCCAAATGACCTGATGCCTGGTGACCCGATGCCCGCTGTCCAGCCAGACTATCCAATGTCTGACCCAGTGCCCGCGGTCATGCCAGTTGACTCAGAGCCAACTGTCGTGCCTGGTGACTCGGTGCCCACTGCCTTGCCAGATGACGCGGTGCCCACTGGCGAGCCAAATGACCTGATGCCTGGTGACCCGATGCCCGTTGTCGTGCCTGATGACCCGGTGCCCGCTGCTCCGCCTGGGGGCCCGATGCCTGTTGCCCCGCCTGGTGGCCCGATGCCTGACGCCCCTCCTGGGGGCCCGGCACCTCGTCCCTCCTGGGGGCCCGGCGCCTGTCGCCGCCCCGCCTGGGGGCCCAGCGCCTGTCGCCCCGGGGGGCCCGATGCCCCTGCCACCCCTGCCTGGGGGCCCGGCCTGGGGGCCCGCCCGCCGCCCCGCCTGGGGGCCCGATGCCCGCCGCCCTCCTGGGGGCCCGTGCCCGCCGCTCCGCCTGGGGGCCCGATGCCTGTCGCCCCTCCTGGGGGCCCGATGCCTGTCGCCCCTCCTGGGGGCCCGGTGCCTGTCGCCCCTCCGCCTGGGGGCCCGATGCCTGTCGCCCCTCCTGGGGGCCCGGTGCCGCCGCTCCGCCTGGGGGCCCGATGGGCCCCGCCTGGGGGCCCGGTGCCCGCCGCTCCGCCTGGGGGCCCGATGGCCGCCGCTCCGCCTGGGGGCCCGATGCCCGTCGCCCCGCCTGGGGGCCCGATGCCTGTCGCCCCTCCTGGGGGCCCGGTGCCCACCGCCCCGCCTGGGGGCCCGATGCCTGTTGCCCCTCCTGGGGGCCGATGCCTGTCGCCCCTCCTGGGGGCCCGGTGCCCACCGCCCCGCCTGGGGGCCCGATGCCTGTTGCCCCTCCTGGGGGCCCGATGCCTGTTGCCCCTCCTGGGGGCCCGCCGCTCCGCCCGCCTGGGGGCCTGTGTCGCTCCACCTGGTGGCCCGATGCCTGTCTCGCCCACGCCTGGGGGCCCGATGCCTGTCGCCCCGTCTGGGGGCCCGATGCCTGTCGCTCCTCCTGGGGGCCCGGGGTCTGCCGCTCCGCCGGGGAGCCCGGCGCCCGCCGCTCCACCTGGGGGCCCGGCGCCCGCTGCTGCTCCGCCTGGTGGCCCGGAGTCCAGCTCGATGTGCCTCTGCCCGGAGTCCTGCCCGGAGTCCAGCTCGATGTGCCTCTGCCCGGAGTCCTGCCCGGAGTCCTGCCCGATGTGCCGCTGCCCGATGTGCCGCTGCCCGGAGTCCTGCCCGATGTGCTGCTGCCCGGAGTCCTGCCCGATGTGCCGCTGCCCAGAGTCCTGCTCGATGTGCCGCTGCCCGGTGTGCCGCTGCCCGGAGTCCTGCCCGGTGTGCCGCTGCCCGGAGTCCAGCCCGGTGTGCTGCTGCCCTCCTGGGGGCCCGTCGCCCCGCCTGGGGGCCCGGCGCCCCGCCTGGGGGCCCGATGCCCGTCGCTCTGCCTGGTGGCCCGGAGCCCGCCGCTCCGCCAGGGAGCCCGGCGCCCGCCGCTCCGCCTGAGGGCCCGGCGCCCGCTGCTCCGCCTGGTGGCCTGGTGTCCAGCTCGATGTGCCTCTGCCCGGAGTCCTGCCCGGAGTCCAGCTCGATGTGCCTCTGCCCAGAGTCCTGCCTGGAGTCCAGCTCGATGTGCCTCTGCCCGGAGTTCTGCCCGATGTGCCGCTGCCTGATGTGCCGCTGCCCGGAGTCCTGCTTGATGTGCCGCTGCCCGGGGCTGCGTTCTAGCAATACACTTACACCGTTCGAATCCCTATGCAAACGACAAACTGACACACTCCTAATCCATCAGCTCCCATATTTAGGAGTCCTCCTACAAATTTCTAACTAGATGGTACAAAATACCTTTAGATGTTCCCTAATGTTGAATATTGCTGTTGGAGGAGATGTGCCCAACGTGGCACATTCCTTCATATCTGGTGGTCCTGTCCTATCATTAAAGTTTTTTGGGAAGCCATCACACCCTGGATAAAGAAAATGTCTTTTAGACTAATTGATGGCTCCCCTTTCCAAACCCTGTTTCACAGGATCCTGTCCTCTATGAAGGCCTATAAAAGGAGTGTAACTCCCCACTTACTGAATGCAGCAAAGTCCCAAATTCCTAGGTTCTGGAAACAAACCACCTGTCCTACACTTTCTGACTGGAAAAGGGAAGTGTATGCCATTATGGAGGTGGAACGTTGGGTGTACATAGTTAGGAATCAGCAAGAGAAATTTAGAGATGTATGAATGGTTTGGCAATATTACTCTGCAGAGATTCAAGATCATTAAATACATCCCCTCATATCTCATGATACTCTTTTTCCCCATTTTGACTCTGATTGGTATTATGTTTAAAGTGTTACTAAACAAAGGACCCTGCATTCACTATATCCAGTCTCCCACAGTACACAGAACATGGAAGTGCAATTATTTTAGTAAATATAAACTGCTAAATACCTTTTCTCATCAGCAGTTAGAGCAGTCTTGTGACTTCTATCAGTGCCTAGCCAAGCACTGGTTACAGATTGTAGGAGGAGTTTTTATTTTGCTCTAGGAGGATGCAGAACCCCTGACCTCTATCTGGACAGTGCTGATTGGCCCTGTGCTGATCACATGCACTCTCCCAAGAAAAAAAAAAAAACCTTTATAGCAATACACACCAAACTGAGCATGTGTCTCCACACAATATGTCTTATCAGGAGATGAGTGGGACACTGGAAGAAGGGGAGGATCAGAGAAGTCAGGGTCAAACAGCGTTTTTGCACAATGCAGAAGATTGACCCCTTTAATTCCACTTTGAGTATAACAAGCATGCTTTACTGCATATACAGCCTGATCTTACTGTTGTGGGTTTAGTAACACTTTAAACCCCATTTTCTGTAATTTTTTATTGTCTCGGTGTTCATTAGTGTGAACGCTTCCCCCCCCCCCCCCCTTTTTTAAATTTTATTATGTTTTTTCTTCCCTCTTATACAGTTCAAATGTTTGCATCCGGCAGTGGGACTCTCCTGACAGTGTATGGGCTGTCCCTCGCTCTGCTAATGTTTGCCCTGATGCACACTGTTGCTTTTGAGACAATTTGTTTCTGTTACCTTACATACTTTATATATACCCTATATTGCCAAAAGTATTAGGTTACCTGCCTTTACACACACATGAACTTTAATGGCATCCCAGGTTTAGTCTGTATGGTTCAATATTGAGTTGGCCCACGCTTTGTAGCTATAACAGCTTCTACTTTTCTGGGAAGGCTGTCCACAAGGTTTCGGAGTGTGTCTATAGGAATGTTTAATCATTCTTCCAGAAGCGCATTTGTGAGGTCAGGCTCTGCTGTCAGACGTGAAGGCCTGGCTTGCAGTTTCCGCTCTAATTCATCCCAAAGGTGTTCTATCAGGGTTAATGTCAAGACTGTGCAGGCTAGTCAAGTTCCTCCACCCCAATGTGCTCATCTATGTCTTTATGGACCTTGCTTATGGAGGTATTTAGCTACTGAATCTGCAGACAGTTGTCGACTTCTGTGCACTGTTTGCTTCAGCATGCACCAACCCCGATTTGCCATTTTACATGGCCTACCACTTTGTGGTTGAGTTGCTGTTGTTCCCAGTTGCTTCCACTTTGTTATATTACCACTAACAGTTGACCGTTGAATATTTAGTATCACGGAAATTTCATGGATGGTCTTATTGCACAGGTGGCAACCTATCACGGTACCATGCTTGAATTCAATGAGCTCCTGAGAGTGACCCATTCTTTCACAAATGTTTGTAGAAGCAGTCTGCCTGCCTGGGTGCTTGATTTTAGACATGTGTGGCCATGGAGGTGATTGGAACACTTGAATCCAATGTTTTAGAGGGGTGTCCCAATACTTTTGGCAATAGGGTATGTCTCATGCTGTACATAGTGTAATTCTTGAATATGCCTGATGTTGTATTTTCAAGCATTTTTTTATTGTACTGTCTGGAAACCTTAATAATACTTGATTGTATAAAAAAAAATTAAATTTTGCTGTAAACCCTATTGATAAGCCAGATGATCGGGTCCGAATATCGAAAGAAATTGAAAGAAAAAAACTCATGCATGTCTTTGCCTAAATCAGTTACCTAATTCTTCCACAGCTTGCTTTCCATCATCTTCCAAATAGTTATCAGAAAGATCGAGTATTTCCACATTTCTCATATTTTTCACATTTTGTGCTACAAGAAAAAAATTAAAAAGTGGGTTATTGAAATTATAGTAAGAATGAACATATTGAAGTGTTTTAACATTCCTAAAACCTGAGATTTTGGAAACAGGGCAGATCTCTAACGACAAAAGTTGAGGAACTGAGGTTATCATGACATTTTTAGAATGCTTTACTCATTCAAGGATGGCAATAGTCTATATGTACTGTGTAAAGCTCTGTAATCTATATGAAGAAATTTCAAGACATTAAGCTATTACTTTGCATTGGTAGTTTAAAGTGTCACTGAAGGCAAAACATTTTTCATTTCGGATAGAATAAAGGAGGGTGATATTGCCTGTCAGTAAATAGGAAATCCCTTCAATGTAAGGAGATCCTAAGGTGTCAGCAGGGTCAACAGAACTAGTGTCAGGGTCCTGTCCACGGCAGAAGTTCTGGAAGATCTGGCATTTCTGCCAGTACTGTACATGGCCGCAGAAGTACACATCAACCTCAGTCTGGTGCCAGACGGCCTTTATAAGGAGGCTCATCACTTCCTCTAGTTGCTGGATGATCTCTAGCTCCCCGTGTCCTGTTCCTGGTTCCTGTTTCCTGTGATTCTGACCTGTGATTTCCTGTTACCGACTCGGCTTGCACCTGGACCTGTCTACTCTGCTTTACCCCTGATCTGACCTCGGCTTGACTTACGGATACTCTCTCTCTCACGCTTCTCTGTATATGACCTCGGCTATCCCATCTGACTACGTCTGCTCTGATTCCCACGTGGTACCTGACCTTGGCTTGAACCGACTACCCAGTAAACATCTAAATCCCGGAAGGGCTTGCATACCACGCAAAGGCGCCTCCTGTCTGCAGACCTATCTCCGTGCACCAGCTGTGCTTCTGAGTGGACCACCAACCAGCACTCCTACAGGCGACTTGTGCAACTTTGGGCCTGACTCCCGCTGTCCCACTCTCAGGGGAGTCTGGAACTTAGCCACAAGGGAAGCCCTCTCTCCATTGCCCTCCATTACCAGGTACGTGATAACTAGTGTCCCCATCAGAAGATTTCCCCTCTATTTCTGATCTGATGTCAGCCCAAAATTTGGGATTTTCTTTACTTTCACTTTCGATGATAACGGTAAACAAGACAAATAAAGAGAGTGAATCTCCCTAATGAGGAAATAAAACTAAAAAGAAAAATGTACATTTATTTTAAGGTTATGTCCTTAGATAAAACATATATCTAGACTAAAAAAACTGTATAAACTAAAATGGTACAGAACCATGTAACTAGAAGTTCAATAACACTGTTACAGATGGCATCCTTCATAGGTGGTGTGAGCAGAGTCTAAGTGACAACTTTACCTTCACCAGAGCACCCTGCAAGAAATGATCTGCTGGTGACCCTAGTGGCCCTCGAGCTACTTTGGTTCAAACTGGCACTAAGAGATAATAGGAATAGGAAAATTACAATGGGGAGACAGAATACAAGTAACAGCAGGTTTGAATATCTGCAGAGATTGAGGCAGGTGACAGGCAAGAGAGTAGTCGGTATTCAAGCAAAGGTTGAGGCAGGTGGAAGATAATGAGAGTTGTCATTATCCAGGCAGAGATCAAAGCAGGGAGCATGAAACAGAATACCAAAAATGGAACAGAGTCTGTAATAGAGGTAAGAGACATAAGCAAGGCCAGGCATTGTAGGTGGGAAACAGGCAAAGCAGAAACAACAGTAGTCTCATACACATTGCAGCTGGCAAGAAGTCACAGCACCAACCACCAAGAAGCAAAGAGCTTGAATACTCTCTTTGGAATGTGAATATAGCCAACATCAGAGATGCATGCCAATGCATGCACCCCAAACGGCCACGATCTGTCACACATGCCACAGGCATACAAAGTGGGTCATGCCCCTGGATGTACAGACAAAATCCTGGAGGTACTGTAAAACATGCCTAGTGAAATGTGCCTATCAAGCAGCATGAAACATGTTACAAGCTACATAGAACAGTGGTAAGTCTTAACTGAAATGTTTCTATGTTAATTTCAGGGAATATGTTTACTAATAACATTATCTGCTATATACCATACAGAGATTCCACCAAAATGCCTTTTTGGAAAATTAAAGCAGAACTGAACATATAGGCCCCCCAGGACTCTTATCCTAATGAGTAATGTGACATCCAAGTTCTCTGTCAATGCTACCCTTGCTGGCATCGTCTCTAGCCCTTCTACTGGGTTTGGAGTCTTCAGGAATTGCACAGCACCCACCACAAGCCAAGATTGTTTACTGATCTGCACATGTGTGGCTTAGTATACAATAGGAACAAAAATTGCTTTCAGGCACAAAAGTAGCTTTTATTGCAAAAGAGACATGCAAACTATGAATATTCACCAGTAAAAGCATACCTGTTTCTGTTGGCCTTTTTTTGCAAAAGCTTTTAGTTTTGCTCCAAGTAATTAGCGAATAACGGTGCCGGAATCCAGGTATTTAAGAAGGCAAAAAACTGAGGAACCTTTTCTTCCAAACAGTTAATCCCAGGCAAGGTCACTGTCAACGATTTTATATATATATACACACATATATATATATATATATATAAACAAACGAAACCAGCGCTAAAATCAATCTACATGCAGACTGAGATAACTGTAACTGTCATTAGTTGAGGTGCAGCCCTTAGAAGATCGGGAAATTTTGATACTGGTGAACAAAAGCAAAAAAGGGTGCACTCTCTTCGTGCATTACTGTGGTGAAACACAAATTTATTTAAAAGCATAAAAATGCATACTCACAAACCAAAGGGGATAAAAACAGAGAAGAAAAGTCCATAATGATGGTCCAAAGACACGGTAGACCCTCGGTGAGGTAGTCTAATGCATTTCGGGAGATGTACTCCCTTCTTCAGAGCTCGCGTTCTGAAGTGCTTGAGCTCTGAAGAAGGGAGTACCGTATTTTCCGGCGTATAAGACGACTGGGCGTATAAGACGACCTGTTAAAATATAGGGTTTGAGCTATACTCGCCGTATAAGACTACCCCTCTTCCAACGCACACCAAATAAAAATGAAAAAACATCAGATTTGATTTCAATATGGTATGCTGCTATTTCAGTTTGGTATTCCAATGATGGGGTGCTATTCCTTCCACTGACACCAATGATGAGGCACTATTCCTCCCACTGACACCAATGATGGGGCACTATTTCATCCACTGACACCAATGATGGGGCACTATTCCTCCCACTGACACCAATGATGGTGCCCCATCATTAGTGTCAGTGTGTGAGGAATAGTGCCCCATCATTAGTCAGTGGGAGGAATAGTGCCCCATCATTGGTGTCAGTGGGAAGAATCGTGCCCCATCATTGGTGTCAGTGGGAGGAATAGTGTCCCATCATTAGTGTCAGTGGGAGGAATAGTGTCCCATCATTGGTGTCAGTGGGAGGAATAGTGCTCCATCATTGGTGTCAGTGGGAGGAATAGTGGCCAATCATTGGTATTAGTGGGAGGAATAGCACCCCATCATTGGTGTCAGTGGGAGGAATAGCGCCCCATCATTGGTGTCAGTGGGAGGAATAGCGCCCCATCATTGGTGTCAGTGGGAGGAATAGCGCCCCATCATTGGTATCAGTGGCAGGAATTGCGCCCCATCATTGGTGTCAGTGGGAGGAATAGCGCCCCATCATTGGTATCAGTGGCAGGAATTGTGCCCCATCATTGGTATCAGTGGCAGGAATTGTGCCCCATCATTGGTGTCAGTGGGAGGAATTGCGCCCCATCATTGGTATCAGTGGGGAGAATAGTGCCCCATCATTGGTGTCAGTGGGGAGAATAGTGCCCCATCATTGGTGTCAGTGGGGAGGAGGAATAGTGCCCCATCATTGGTAGCAGTGGGGAGAACAGTGCCTCATCGTTGGTGTCAGTGGGGGAGGAACAGTGCCTCATCGTTGGTGTCAGTGGGGGAGGAACAGTGCCTTATCGTTGGTGTCAGTGGGAGAGGAACAGTGCCTCATCGTTGGTGTCAGTGTGGAGGAGGAATAGTGCCCCATCATTGGTATCAGTGTGGAGAACAGTGCCTCATCGTTGGTGTCAGTGGGAGAGGAACACAGTGACTCATCGTTGGTGTCAGTGTGGAGGAGGAATAGTGCCCCATCGTTAGTGTCAGTGGGGGAGAGGAGCGGCTGCTCCTTCTTCCAGTGCGGCCGCTCGATTTTCGCGGGGCCGCTCGGCTCCGCCTCCTCGCCGGTGATTGGTCGCCTGTGTGCCTTTCCAGTGCTGGCGCTCAATCACCGGTAAGGAGGCGGAGCCGAGTGGCCGCGTGACCATCGAGCGGCCGAACTGAAAAAAGGAGCAGCCGCGCTTCCTGGACCGGATCGTCGTGGGACCGGAGCCAGGTAAGGTACAGCAGCCCCTCTGCCCACCCCTGTACTTGGTGTCCGTTGGAGGAGGAGGGGGGGCGGCGCCGCGCTGCCCCTCGAAAAAGTGCCGCCCTGACACCGGCTCGCACCGGCGTATAAGACGACCCCCGACTTTTGAGAAGATTTTCAGGGGTTGAAAAGTCGTCTTATACGCCGGAAAATACGGTATGTCTCCCGAAATGCATTAGCCTACCTCACCGAGGGTTTACCGTAACTTTGGACCATCAATACGGACTTTTCTTCTCTGTTGTTATCCCCCTTTGGTTTGTGAGTATGCATTTTTATGATTTTAAATAAATTTGTGTTTCACCATGGTAATGCACGAAGAGAGTGCGCCCTGTTATATACAGTTGTGTTCAAAATAATAGCAGTCAGACATCACTAACCTGATCAATCACTGTTTTTGGTAGAAATGATATTTCTACATGGCAAATAATTTACTAGCAGGTGTAGTAGAGTAATAGAAATCCAACAGACCCAACAGTTATGACATGCATGCTGCTGATTCTGTGTAATTGAATCACTAATTGAAAGGGGCATGTTCAAAATAATAGCAGTGTGGAGTTATATTAGTGAGGTCATTCATTCTTTGAAAAAGAGGTGGCAATTATTGCC